TCTCTTGCTCTCTCGCTCTGTCCCGCTCTGGTCAAATTAAAATAAGTAAATGAATAAAGTTAAATAAAATAATTCTCTAAAAAAATAATAATGATAAATAAAATTAATAAATAATTTTAAAAAGAAAATCATGCCAGGTGCATGTGCATGTGTGCCCAAAATCTCAAGAGGAGAGTGGAGGAGAAGGGATTGCGGTGTGGCCATCCCCTCCGGGAAGTGATTTCTCATTTTCCCTCACTCTCTCTGCAAGGTGCACATACTCTGTGACAAAACCTAAATAAATAAATGAAAGTACCTTCATTCACTTTATAGTGGCCTCCGGTTACAGATGAACATTCAAACCTCAGATTCCTCCTGTATCAGGACGAGCATACCTGATACACAGCTCACACGTGCACTGATTGCCATGGCGGGCCCTCCGGCTAAGGCTTGCATTTCTCCTTTCCTCCCCACAACCACCGTGTGAGGTACGTACTGTTCTCATGCCCATTTGACAGGTGGGGACACTGAGGCGCAGAGAGGCTAAGAAACTTGCCCAAGATTATACAGCTGACGCGGTGGCAGCACGTGGACTGCAACCCGGGCCCTCTGCTCTCTTCTGCTACCCAATGCCTCGAGTGCTTGGGAGGATCGAATGGGGCCGTGCTGAGCTCCTGAGTGACATCAGGTCCCAACCTCAGCTTCAGACTGGCCTCTCAGGGCACCCAAAGTCCAAGTCTTCCACGTCGGAGACACCAGGGGACCTTGTGTGTGTGTGAACGGGGCTGGGGGTGGGGGGGGCAGCAAGGACACAGACACGAACAGAAGGAGAAGGACCATGTGGGCCAGCAAGTCAGTGACCAGAGACAGATGGCGAGATGTGACACAAGCGCAGAGGCGGAAGGAGGCTGGAATCGGGTGGTAGTAAAGTCAGAGCGTGAGTGTGTGTAAACACACGTGCCCGTGCACATGAATACACACACACTCACCCCTGCTCCTCAAGGGTGCAGGCATGGCTTGATCTTGAGGCAGCAGCCTCTCCCCGCACCCCGCCCCCGGCTTCTGTCCATCTGTCTCCCTGGCCCAGGCCTCTCCTCCTCCCTCCCACTCCAGCCAGTCCTCTCACCTGGCCTCTGCTCCATCTTCCCTGCCTTCCTGCCCTACGCCCTTCCTCACCCTCCCCCGGCCTCGCTGAGGCGTCCATTCATCTCACAAACATGCCTGATTGTGCCAGCTTCTCTCTGAGTGCTGCTGGGGACAGAGTGGTGAACCAGACAGACAGCAAGGAGGCCCTGACTCCAGGGAGCTGACATTCCGGGGGAGACAGACGATGGCAACGAACAAGACCACTTGAGATCGTGCTGAACAGCAGCGAGGAGAGAAACGGGCAGGTATGGCAGAGAGACACGGGGAGGGTTTCTACAGGATGGTCAGGGAGGGCCTTTCGGTGGAGGTGACATTTGAGCTGACTGTGCCACACTGTGGGGAAAACAGAATTCACGGCAGGGGCAACTGCAGGCCAGGCAGAGGGAATGGCATTCAAAGAGGTAGAACAGCATTTTAGGCAGACAGAGTAGCGTTCTGGGCAGAGGGAACAGCATTCTGGGTTGCGGGAACAGCATTCCGGGCAGAGCCACCGGCATTCTGGGCAGAGGGAACTGTGTTCCAAGCAGAGGGAATAGGATTCTAGTCAAAGGAAGTAAGTGCCAAGACCCTCACGCAGGGACAGACCTGGTATGTCTGAATGGCAGAAAGAAGCCCAGCACAGCTGGCAGGACTCGTCCATCGCCCAGGGCTCTCTTGGTCTCCGCCTGCTCTCTGGCACCGTGGGCCCCCTTTCACCCAGTTATCCTGGGCCTGCATTTCTAAATCACCGTGCCTGCCCCATACCTGAGGGCCACGCACAGGCCCTGTCTTCAGGGTGCATGATTTGTCCTTTCCTGGCCTCTGTCCTGTCCAGTCTCAGATTCAAGTCTCCCTCACTGCAGGCCTCCCCTTCTTCTTTTCGGCTTCCTCTCCGCTCCTTCCGGCCTACCGTGTCCCCACTTCTGCCTTTCCATGCCATGGCCACCTCCTCCATGCCCACGATGTCCAGCCCTCCCCCCCCCCAACCTTCCTCTCTATTTCCCCTGCTCCCATCTTCTCCTAAGCCCCACCCCGGGCTCACTCTTTGGCCCCTGGGGCTCCTATCCTGTTGATTAACTCCCCACTGCCGACCAGCGCCCCCCAGTTCCTAACCAGAGGTGCTTGGTGAGGCAGGGTGGAAAACTTTGGTTCAACCTCAGCTCTACCATTAAGCGCTATGTGACCTTGGGCAAGTCCAGTTTTCCTCTGACTCTCAGTTTATAACACTCTCAATTAGGGGTCATGGGCTTCCTGGCTCAGGGGGCTTATGTGATGCTCAAGAGAAACGGATGAGGCATCTGTGGAATGCCCAGCACAGAGAGCGGTGCCCTGCACCAGGCCCCGTCCTGGGCACTTTGCGCATGTTAACTATTCATACTTTGCTCCTAGGACCACACTGGGAAACTCCCAATTCACAACCGAAGGAACAGAGGACCTGAGAGGTTAAGCAACTTGCCCAAGGTCACACAGGAAGTAGCAAAGTTAGGATGTGAACCCAGACAGTCTGACTCCCAAGCCCATGTCCTCAACCACTATGTGATCAGCAGACTTGAGATTTGTCTCCCTTGGGCACCCTAAAGTGCTGCTGGAAAGATAGGCCCCCTGGGCTAACATCCCTTCCCAACTCTGCCCTGCCTCTTCCCTCCCAGTGGCTCAGAACCCCCGTCCCTAGGCCCCTACACCCTGCTAGCTCTCTTACCTCCCAGACTTCTCGCTGTCAGCTCTCAGCTCTGGTGGGGAGACCCTTACACTCCTTGCATCTGGGAGCTTCTTTCCGCCCCACTCGCCCCCTCCCAGATCCCCCTGAGCTGTGACTAACACCAAAGCATCCACTCAGCCCCCTCCTCCACCCTACTACACCAGCCCCGAGTTGCTGCCCCCGGGAGTTCTAGCCCACAGGATTCCCCACCTCAGGGCAGGAGAACCCTGACTCACCCAGAGGACTCCCCACCCCTGCCTCCCCCTCCTCCCCATCTTAGCCTTTCCCCTCTTTTCTCTAGTGGTACTATAATTCCTCCACCACCTCACCCCAACCCGCTTTCCACTTCTCTGGGTTTTGGAGTCATGGATAATCTAGCCAGCAGGGGATCTGGGTTCAAATCTGCATTCCTCACTTGCTAGCTGTGCAACCTCGGGCAAGTTACTTGATCACTCTGGGCCTCTGTTTCCCCAGCTCTAAAATGAGGTAGCCCCTCAGGCCCTCTACCTTCTTGGGAGGTTGGTGAGGATCTGATGGGATTATGTATAGCAAGCGGCTTTGCAAACTGTACCCTGAGCGAGAAAGTGTACACTCACAAGCCTGCCTGGGTGTGAATCCTGCCTTTTCCTGGCTGTGTGACTTTGATGAAATTACTCAACCTCTCTGGGCCTCAGTGTCCTTATCTATAAAATGAGGGTATACTAATACCAGCCTCACAGAGTTGCTGTGAGGATCAAAATGAGTCAATATGTATAAGTCGCTTAAAATACACATGTTTAATAATGAAATAAACCTTCAAAATCCCCACCCTTCAACACCAGCTCCTCCTTTCTTCCCACTTGCTAACTTGTGTCTCCCCAGCGACAGCAGTCACTTGGCTCCAAGCCCCTTCCCCTTATCTATGTGTAACCTGGGTCCCCCCTAATTTCAGGGGCTTTTGAGAGACAGAGATCTTGAGCCCCAGGGTTAAGACTTCTGCTTCAAAAGCCAGAAAAGCAGAGACCCATGTTGATTTGGCAGACCGGAAACCAGATTCCAGTCTGATCCCCAGCCCTCCCTCTAGTTGCTTGGTGACCTTGGCCAAGTCCCTTCCCATCTCCCAACCTCAGTTTCCTCATCTGTCAAATGGGATAATAATCCCCAGGGTGACAACCACCAGGCTGTTGGTAGAGACCCAGGGCCTCAGGAGACATTGGCCGGGCCAGCACTTTTGCTAATGTAACACCACAGGCCTCGTACAGAGCAGCCTGTCAGCTCTGCTTCCCCAGGCCTCGAGCCGTCTCTCCAAATGCCCAGCATCTCCCAGCCCCCCTAAACCATTCTCACCAAGCTGCACTCCCAGCCCCTCCAAACAGCAGCCTCCCCTGCAGCCTCCACTGCTGCCCTCCCCCGACTCTCAAACACAACTGGCTGCCTGGTGGGTCTCCTGGCCCCAGGCCTCTTCAGGCCTGCAGACCTGGGGCCCGTGCAGCCTGCCCGGACTGCTCAGGGTGCCCCAGATTCCCCCCCTGCAGTCAGCCCATGTCTCACAACCCAATTCTGTGGCCCTGTGCATGGAGCCTCCTCCTCCTCACCTCTGCATCCCCATCTCCCACCTCTAGGGTCACCCATCCCAGGCCCTGGGCCTCTGGATGTCTCCGGAGGCCACCTCTTCCCTCCCTGCCTCAGAGAGGTGCCCCCTCCCACGGAGAGCAACGCGCGGGCACACACACACACACACACACACACACACACTTCATTCACTGCCAGGTGTTGGCATCTCAGTCCCAACCTGTGTCCTTCCCCACAGCATCCCCCAAATCTGGGTCCTGTGAGACTCAGCCTTGCCCAGTAACCACCCCAGCCTTCTAATTTGGCAAGCCTGCCCTGGGGATGACAGTTCCCTCCAAGCCTCTCTTGACATTCGCTCTCCCCATCCCACATTAGACCCCAGGGCCTTCCTGGGAACGTGGGGTGTCCGAGGCCCGGTAGACCTCTCCTGCCCCTTGTATCTTCATGGTTCCAACCCTTCCACTCACTGTCCCCAAAATGCAGGTTCACCGGAGACATCAGGTGGCTCCAGATATCTGGGTGCCCTGGCCACCCACCTCCCATCTCATCATTCGCCCCCCACGTCCCACACCTCCCCCACATCACCCCAACACACTCCCCAAATATTGGGGTCCCGCCCCCCCATTCTTCCCACCCCCAAGCTTACACTCCGCAGCTCCTGAGTCCGATCCTTCATCCTGCGACGGCTCCTCCTCCTCCTCCTGGGCCTCCTGCCTCTGCTGCCGCTCCCTCCCC